CCCCACAAAGCCACTGGATCTGGTCCGCGGCTGCCTCTCTGGGACCCTTAAGCACAGCACAGCACAGCACAGCACAGCACAGCACAGCACAGCACAGCACAGCACAGCACAGCACAGCACAGCACAGCAGTCTCTTTAAATGTGTCTGCTCTATTCTGGGAGCGAGGAGGGAGGCTTTGTGTTCTGCCATGACCCTCAGAAAAATCTGTCAACTCCCACTGGCCAGTTTCTGACCAATAGCAGCTGAAATATTTGCCGGTTCCTGCAGGGCTGCTGACTGGAAGATGCCTAGGTAAGCACAGCACAGCACAGCACAGCACAGCACAGCAGTCTCTTTAAATGTGTCTGCTCTATTCTGGGAGCGAGGAGGGAGGCTTTGTGTTCTGCCATGACCCTCAGAAAAATCTGTCAACTCCCACTGGCCAGTTTCTGACCAATAGCAGCTGAAATATTTGCCGGTTCCTGCAGGGCTGCTGACTGGAAGATGCCTAGGTAAGTGTCTTCCAGCCCGAGACTGCCTCTGGCACCCAAACCCCCTTCCCCAGCAACTACCTGCCCCAGGCCACCACTCAAACTCTCTGTACCCTTTTCCCCCAGTTCACAACTCCCTCCCAGATTCTGCACCCCCTCCTAGAGCCCCTCCCTCAGGCCAGAATCCTCTCCTGCAACCAAACCCCCTTTTGGACTCTGCACCCCAAGTGTCTGCCGCAGATCACAACCACCTCCCTTCACCCAAACTCCCTCTCAGACTCCACACCCCCTTCTGCACCCAATCTTTGTCCCAGACCCCAAACCCCTTCAGAAGAAATGCAGTCCTTGACCACTTGCCAAGATCCTGGGGTAGCTCTCCATTAAAAATTATTGCCAACCCTGGCATATAGCATTAGATAATGGCATTTGTGTCATACGCTCCCATTTTGATACCAAGACATTCATGAAGGAATTGTACAATATCAGTATAAGTGTATGAAAGGAAGAAATGTACAAACCAATGAAAGACTTTGCTAAATAAGGGTTGGTGTTACAAAAGAAAAGTTATGACTGAGTCTCAACCAGAGGAGATCATCACCACTTCAACCAGACAGACAAACTTGAAATTATTACCTTCCCCAGTGCTGAAGGCCACTCCTTGATCATCATATTGCAGGGGCTCAATCACCACCTTTTTTAATTGTGTATCTAATTCTTTGCGAAATTTTAGCACATACTCTTCTTCAATGCCACAACATGGCAAAGTCACTAATCGTTCTAGCAGCCGAATACATAACGAATACTGTAGAAAATAAAAATTCATTAAGAGATGCAGGTGAAATTGCATTTGCCGACACTTTCTATTTTTATATACTTTATCTTTCCTTCTTTGCTTTTATTGATGATATTTGACAAGATGACATTTCTGCATCCATATTCTGCTTCAAAAACAACATGCAAATGTGTCATTTTCTGTGTGACTAAAGACACCTTTCTTCAGGCAACAATGAATCTTGAATTCAGAGTACACTCAACCTTTTTGTAATTCAGGATCATTATATTAGAATGAAGTCCATTTCAATTTTAAAAGAAAACTTCTACTGGGCCTTGGATCTCAATTCAATATTTTAGTGGAATAGAAGAAGAAAATCTTTCCAACATGTCAATCTGTATGTAAAAATATAAATAATTTTATTTTACTAAACTGCAGCTTTTAAATGATTTCATAATACATATTGGAAATATATCTCTTTGGCTGTTCAAGCTGAATTACTTTAATGTTTATGATTTCCTTTAAAACCGAACAATCAAGAGATTTAAAAATTCAAGAGATACTTGACTTAAAGGGCAAACTCTCGAAATAAATTATCCTTTGCTCCTGTGCGCCTTTTCTCCTAGTTCTTGAACATGTGATTAGAAAGTAAACACCTCAACATTAACCCCTTTGTGCTGAAATCAGGGATGGCCCGTTACAAGGAATTACTTACAGGAGTTTTGAATCACTGGTGAATCACTAGTAACAAAGAAATAAAAGGATGCCACTATGTATTACATACTTTCCCCCCTACTTATAGGGCATTTCTAAAATTACTTTCAAGAATTATTTTTACCTATGCTGTATTTCCAGCATTTCCTGCATCAGGCTATTTTCTTACAAACAAATCAGCAGTATCAGTAGGTATTTTCAAAAAAGAGAAATGCAATTTTATATTTCAGTCCAATATTCTAACGCAGATTTCTGTAACAAAGCTTTTTGGAAAAAAACTGCATTAACATAACACAGGTGCCAAATGCCTTTAAAAGTTAAAAAAAACCCATCAAATTGTAGAAACTGTAAATGAGGAGAGACTCCGACAGTTGTCACTTGCAGAGCATATTAAAAAAAAAAAATCAATTGCCTCCATTTTGTTTAGTACCCTTAATGCAAGCACCACAGAAAGCTTTGCTGCAACAAAATAGAAGATAAATGGAGCAGGCAAAAGAGTACAGCTAATATCTAAAGGACTCGATACATAAAAACATTTCAATTTATTTCCAGAAGCTGAGCCTTTGTGCTTTTCTATACTTATTCACAGGACAATCTCTTGTATAGTATTTTCTAGCCCACTGACATTTCATAGACACGTGAGGCACGGTAGAAAGGCAAGCTGTGAGGAACACTAAAATGTCTGGGTATGCTTGTGAATGCAGAACAATTTCTGGGGCTTTGGGAAAACAAACAGGAAAATCCATACCTACCATCACAGTATAACAAGAGATACTGAAATTGAGGACTGCTTCCATTGTTAGTGAGATGATCTGTAGTCTGAATCTCAAAGGGATGGTGGAATACACAGTAATGAAGGATAGAGAGAATAAAATATCTAGAGTTCTTAGGCCAAAGGTTGTCAACCCTGTCTGGTGCAGCCCAATTCAAACTTCAAATTCCCTTGGGAAATTAAGATTCCATTGGTAAAATGTAACTTATGGTCATATGGGCAGGCTGGATCAGGATTTCTGGAACTTTGCTCTTATTTGGAAAGCCTCAGTGAAGTAGAAACATCAGTGTTATTCCTCACCCATGGAAACCAACTGCAATAGTGAGTTACCGAGCTTGTTCTCAACCATGCAAATAGTAAGGTGCCAGATGCAGAGTTCTTCAGAATCAATTTCAGATGATGCAGGAATATTACAGATAATGGGCTCTCTTGTCTGTATTAGAGAAATCTGGTAAAAAACACTTCCCACCATCACTACTATTATTAGTTCAACTTCACTAATAATAGTAACATTGGGAGGTCTATAGAAGAGCCCTACTTAATGCTCAGTGTTAGTTAGACCTTCTCTAAACAGGGCTATATGACACAGTGATGTCACATATACACAAGGGCTGCTAACATTGTTATCATTGATGGGGATGGATCACGTTAACAATGGTGGGAAATTTTTGTAGCATGCATTACAATAAATAAGACTACTCTGGCTGCTTTTGAGGCCAGAGACAACATGATATTATGACAAACATTTACTTAGAGGGAGCTGGTGAGGGGGGGGGTTTGGAATGGATGACATTTTGGGGGCGGGGATCTGAAATGCAGCAGAGTCTATATTCTTAAGATACAGGACCCTTAAATTAAAAAGATTAATTACTCACATCATGATCTGACAGTTTTTCCACTAACATTTCTTCCAACTCCTCCTTAATCAGCCATCTGCTGCCAATCAGGTTTCTGTTTAAAATATCACATATATTCTCTTTTTAATTAACCATGAAATTAGTTATATCACAATGGACCACACACATAGTCAAGGCTTAGTTTGGAAATGTATTTTCTATTGCAAAATAGTATGATATTCATTTTGTGAATGTGATTTGTAATGTTTGAATCATAAAAGCTCTTGCTTACGAAAGGAATGGTAACTTACATTTATTACATTCAGTGCATCAAGAGTTAACCATGAATATTACTTGAATAGAAATAATGAGTGACACTTAAGTTAAAAGCCAAATGAGCAATTCCACAATAAGCTAATTTTCCACAGATTTCTAACTCAGTTCTAAAAAACTTGGCCCTTGAGGTTTCAGCAAAACAAAATACAAATAAAACGACATTCAAGATAGCATGAAGGCCTTGTCTTCAGTAGATCTTCATCTGTTAAACCTGGCTTTTACTGGCACAGCTCTACAGGTGGCAGCAATGGTATGAGTATAGAAAGGGAACTAGTAGCCACTGGCATTTTAATCACCATGCCATCGAGACCTACTCTGAGCTAGGTTAGACAACATGATGGTGCTGGACCATCAGCAATGCCATTGTTACCAACAGAGGAAGTGCACCAGAGGTAGCAGTGGTAGAAATTTTAAAGAAAATAGTCCAGTGTAGAGACAGAGCCTCAAGGTCTGAATTAAGATTAAACCGATAAAAGGAAATTTAAAGCACTGTTCCAAATACACACTTTTCATGTAGGTTTTATATAAAAAGTGTCTGGACTTGATGAATCAGCATACTTCATACAGTATGGAGATGAGATTATAAAATTACTTAAAGACGAACCTTTAACTCATTTTTGCTTTTGTCAATTTATTAGAAAAAATAAATGTCAACTAACATTTTTAGGGGAACAATTAAAGGCCCTATTCAAGGAAAAGTATACTATACTTTAGCAACTTTAGCATGGGTTATGGATTTAAAAGGTTAACTGGTTATCTGGTAAGAATTAACTTTACGGGCAAACTGGTTAACCAAAGGGTTGACCATAACAGCTCCCCCTGCCTGGGGAGGGTGGGAGAAGCCCTCCGGCCACACAATTAGATCATTTAACCAGTTAACTTTGTAAATGGAAATCTATATCCCTAGCATGTGCTTTTGTGAATCAGGGCATAAAATGTTCATATACCCCACTGCCCAACAATACTATCTTTTTCACTGGCAGCTGAAGTCCCGATCCTGTAAAGATTTCAATATATGCTTACCTTATACATGATGAGCCTCAATGAAGTCAATTGGATTACTCATGTGTAGAAACAATGACGAGACCTGTGGCACTTTACAGACTAACAGATTTATTTGGGCATAACCTTTCATGGGTAAAACCACTTTGTCTCCATGCATGTAACAAAGTGGTTTTCACCCGTGAAAGCTTATGCCCAAATTTATTATTAGTCTATATAACAGGGGTCCGCAACCTCTGGTTTGTGAGCCAAATATGGCTCACTAGGGAGCCAGTTATGGCTCTTTTGAAGCTTGAGCCCAGCCCCCTTTGCACCCACCTGGCAGCAGGGAGCCTATGCTGGAACAGGCCTGGGCAAAATAATCCCACTGCGGACACAGCAGGGTGCCTCCAGGCAGATTCCCCTGCTTACCCCATCCCTGCACACCGCTCAGAAAAGCAGCAGCATGGACCCTTTGTTTTTCACACACTGAGCAGGGAGGGGAGAGGTGCCTCATGCCTGCTCCCGTCTCCAGTACAATCCCATTGGTGGTTTCTGGCCAATGGAAGCTGCCTGTTTCAAGAACTGGCAGCACAGGATGCACCAATCTCCCTCCCCTCAAGGTCTCAGTCACGGAGCTCATGGCCAGGCAGCCAGGGAGGAGGGAAGGGGTGAAGGGGAGGCTCCTTCCAAAGAAACGTGTTGAGCTGCTGGCCTGAAGTCTCACTGGTAAGTGTCCCAGTCAAAGCCTGCCTCTGGCACCCCAGCCTCTCCTTCCCCCATAGCCTTCTGTCCCCCCACTACTGCCCCTATCCCACATAATCCAAACCTTCTGCTTCCCTCCTGAGCCCATCTCCCTCCCCCCCCACACACACACACTTCACCTCAATCCCTGCTCTAGATCACAATCCCCTCCTGCCTTAGGTCACAACGCAAACCCCTGCATTGTAATCCCCTGCCCAAGGTCACAACTGTATCCAAATCCTGTGCCTCAGGTCACTTCTTCACCCATACTCAGTGGTCCCCATCACTAAAAAGGTTCCCCACCACTACCATAAATAAAGAAAATGTTGAAATCTTTGCGTTGGGCAGAATATTTTACTTTGTTTAAAAATGAAGCCTGGCCAGCAAGCCTCCGATTGAGGCCTAGCCCCATCTGGCTGCAGCATCATAACGCTCCTGTACACCACCCCCACACACCAACCCTGAGCCTATCACACACCTAAACTGCTTGCCCTGATCCCCTAATATCCCCACATCTCCAGCCTCCTGCACCCCCATATCCCCAGCCTCCTGCTATAACACTCCTGCACCCCACACATACCCCAAGCTTGTGCCCTGAGCCCATCACACACCTGAATCCCCTGCCCTACGTCCCTCCTACACCCCAACCCACCTCCTGCACGCCCACATCACCAGCCCCCTGCCATAAGATGGCCTGAATATGTGCATGAAGCTGGATTTGGCCAGTTATGACAAACTTCAAGGAAACGTGTGAAAAGATGCAACAGCAGAAGTCCCATTAAATAAAGTCTGTGCGTACAAAGTTTCATTTATGCTAAATTAATCATTATGTCAATTATCAATAATATTAAAGTCATGCAAATGGGCATTCTTAAATGGCTCTTTGTTGACCACTTGTCTGAATTTTGATGTATTTTGCCTCTTTGGTTTGAAAAGGTTGCTGACCCCTGCTAAATAACGTGCCATAGTACTCTTTATTTTTCCAGGTACAGACTAACACAGCAGCTACAGCTCTGAGACTTATCACACACATAAAGTTACGTGAATGAAGGATCAGGGCCTAACCTTGTAGTTAAGATTGCAAAATGTCTGTATACAGCGCCTCATTTTAAGAAGCTCAATTTTCTGAATAAATTTTAGAGTTCATCTATTCTTGTCTTAGTGGAAGAGGTACATATGTTTTTGGAAAACTTGAAGAATATCCCTCCAATCACTTGTTTTTTAGAGCATGAAGGTAAAATCAATTGGGTAGGTTTTGGAAGGAATCACATATCAGATTATTTTTCAGCAATGTCCACTATGAACTCCAACCCAATTCTCCCCTTGTCTGCTCAGAAATTAAGGGCATATCTATGCAGCGGGAATAAACTTCCTGCCCTAGCTCTAAAAAAAAAAAAACAAGTAGAAAGTGCTCTAGAGTTGCAACCTTGGGCTGGAGCTTCAGACTCCAAGCTGCAGCTTCAAAACCTTATCTATTCATCTATTTTTAGAATGCCAGCCTGAGTCTGTCCACCTGGGCTGGAAGGCTTACTCCTGCAGGTCCAAAATGCTGTGCAGATGTATACTAATGCTATGCAGGCTCTTGCAGAAAGGTATGAAGAATAAACTACATGCAATAGGAAACTTTAATAATAAAGGAATGTGGACTTCACTTTTTTATCTTTTGTTTCTTAGTTGACTGGTGTACTACTGCTAAAGAAATAAATGGCTCACGTAGGCTCATATTAACACAATTGTCTCGGCTACCAAAACAGAAAAGCACAGCAAGGAATACCGAAGTACAGTGCCGAAGAAAAAAAAAAGATGCAGGAAGCTACACACTATTCTTCATTGCTATTTATCGCCAAAAACCAATGCACAAAGCTAATGGCTAAAGTAGAAAAATATCAGATCATCAGAGACACAAGGCAGTCGCATAATGAAAGAACTGCAGCCCTGAAAAAGCAGCCATTTAATGGGGAGAAAAAGGAGTGACACAGATTCCTCGGTCTCTCTCAATCAATGAAACCTCTACAACCCTACAAAAATTCTCTGAATCCAAAAAGCCCAGTCAGTCTATGGAGGAATTACTATAAAAATTTTCAACATACAACCAGGCTACTGCATCCTACTTCCTGAATTCCTCAAAGGAAGCAAACTTTGCCTAAGTCTTAGGATATTGATTAATTTAAAAAAAGACTGACAAGCAATCCTGATAGCAGCCATTAAAAAAGACTCACCAACACAAACAATCATTATGGTCTTCCAGGAAAGTCTCTATTAACTTTCAATAGGAACGAGTAACCAGTAACCTAGTCAGTAAAATCCTCAAGGAAAATGGCACTGAACACAGAAACATTGACTGTGAAAATCTTCTGTGGAAAAAACCCTCAAAAACACTTTCACTCAATAAGAACTTTTAAATATTTCTCTGCATCCTCTTTTAGCTTCAGTTACATGATAAATAAAGGAAAAAAAGTTAAGGGAGTAATCCAGCTCACTTTCTATTAATTTCCCTTTTGGAAGAGAAGAAGAGAAAAGAGAGAAGGCAAATTAAAGCTACTCAAATATGTTGGCATTGGGAAGAGAAAGAGGAGACTGTAAAAAATGGAACTGTTAATATGAACACAGTAAGGAACCGATTAGATTCCTTGAGCATTGAATCACTTATACAAAAGTTGGAATTACGATAAAAAATGATTGGTTTTATGACTAAAATGTTAACTGTATTGCCAACTCTTACAAATTAATCATGAGTCATGGAATTTTGGCATCTGTAGAATAAGATCTCATATCATCAGATGTTCCTCCATTCCTGTGATCTCTAGGGTTAATCTCACAGCTAAAACTTTGTTTGAGAGCTTGTGGGCCTGAAGACACACACCTGGCCTTGCCACTGAGCCCTGTGTTCATGTAAGGATTGGCTCCCCATCTCAGCAGCATCTCCTATTTTGTAGCTTGTAACAATCTTTACTGGACAATAATTGAAACACTTTCTCTACAGTCAGAATGCTTTGTGTTTCTTGGATGTTCATTGCTTTCTGAGGTCTGTTTAACAACTCTTGTACAGAAATTAATATGATAGGGAAGGTGGAAAATTAAGAGAGAGAGACACTAATAGGAAATGGATAGCAGTTCCCTTAGTTTAGGAATGAGGAGAAGCTACGCGGAATGTCCATGACAGCAGGCAGGGAGAGCTGTGCATTTTTTGTGACTTGAGGTTGATGTTCCAACTGGAAATTAACACATGCACATTGGCAGAGAAATAGATGAGTATACAAGTGTTATATAGACTAAACTTTTTTTTGTTCATATAATTTTTGGAGTCTGACTCAATTTTTGATCTTCTGAGGTTGACAATACTAAATTAATTCACAAATTGTTTCAAAATTGTCTCTCCAAAATACAAATAAAAATGTTTGAAACCAAGATAATAAATAGTGCTAAAATAATATATTAAAGCAGTTTATGAAAATGAATACCAATATTAGTACAAATCAGAAACTCACATTTGTTTCTTCTCATCCAGATCTTGGGCTTTCAACTGGTCTTGGTACTTCTGAATGTCAAGCATTTTTCCATATATTTCCTATAATATAGAGAAATATGCATTAATTATGCAATTTAATTCAATATATATTTTTTATTAGTTTATGGTTCTAAATAACAAAAATATTTACACATTACTTATACATGTATGAGAATTATCCAAACATCCTGAAGAGTAGAAAAAAATATATAAGGACGATTGTAAAAATGGCGAAAGTATTTAACAACAGTTAAAAGTACATATTTTCAGCCTGCAGTGTACAAAACCCTAATCCAGCTCACTTTCCTCATGGCAGTAAAATTAAACATATGCGTAACTATTTGAAAGATTGGTGCTTAAGTCATTCTCAAAACTAAAAAAAAAAAGTGGGCAATATATATTAAGTAAAACAATTACTGGCTTGAACTCTGAACTGACATTTTGGAAAATGTAAGTATTTACATAGTGTATTCCAAAGTTTACTGCCATTCAACTGCCATTCTGTTAATCTTAGCAGTCTCATTTATTATGTCTGTTTTACAGTACCACTTATAGGCCTCAATTGAGGTTACTGCTTCCTTGTGCTTGGGGAAGTGCATAAACAAGTCTGTTTTTCTAAAATACTAATCTGCGAAAAACTCAACAAGCCGATCATACGGTATAGCAAGCACATTATCACTGCTGCATTTCTAAATATGTGTTTGATGCGATTTCCAAATATGATACATCTGTTAGAAGTTTAGGTTACAGTATCAGTATATACAAAAATGGTATTGCAAGGGTGTAAGGGTTCAAAACTATTTCAGTTTCAGTGTTACTATTTATGTAGAGGTTAGCTCTGTTTGTGCGGGTACTCTATGCTTATCTAGATATTCCTGGCACAAATAAAATGAGGAATTGAGCACCCATTCAGATAGCTTTAAACTTTCCTTAATTGATTTATTACCCAGTTAGTAACATTTCTATAGAACCCTTGTTTACATAAGGAAAATTTCGTTTTAAAAAAAAAATTCCTACTATCGTTAACTCTGGTTCAACCTGTTAGGGATATCCTTAACTGGGGAATTACGGGGGCCTGGTGTGGTGGCAGCAGGATTCCCCCAGCACATTCAACATATAGGCAGAAGGAGCTGGAGCGGCCCTGCCCTGTTGCATTGCCCTACTGGCCTGTTGCATGCAGCTTCTCAGAGGCAACAGGAAGCAGAGCATCCCAGAGCAGGCTGCAGGGCTGCTCTGGTTTCTGCCACACATGTGGTGACTGGGGGGCAGGCAAACACTGCTGCCACCATGCTAGGCCCCTGTAGTCCCTGAGGCTACACTGCTCAGGGATGGAAGGGGGAAGGAAGTAGGTGCGGGTGTAGCAGGGGCAGGGCACCTGCAGCAGAGGAGACTGCATCAGGCCCCATGGCCTGCACTCCCTCAGGATGGCCCAGTTTTCAATCTTAATTGTTTTCTCCAAGAATCTAGCTTTCCGATGACAGTTACCCTCAAGTTCAGTGTTTATACTAAAAAGAAACATCAAATGCTTTGAGTTACAGCAGCAACTTAATCCTAAGTAAAGTAAGTGAATACTTTGGGCAACAAGTAATATGTATTAAAAAATAGAAGTGGTGTTACTACAATTAAGTTCTGCACGTTTCAAAGAACCCTCTTAAATTAGCAAGTGCTGAGAACAAAAACCTTATGGATGAGTACTCCGTACTCCTGGATACTAATAAAAACCTCAATATTCACTGTCCCAGCTAGCTGCATCATCAGCAGTGTCTTCCTATACTTTGGAGATGTTATTGTGATGCAATTACTGTGGAGTGGTAAGGATTACATTTTATATACCATTTACAAGAAATACAAAATTTAAACAGTGAAACAGATGAAACATACATAGGAAAGACTCTGAGTTTTTAGGAATAATCACTGTATGAAGTACTAATTGTACAAATATGAGATTTTATAATATGAAGTGAAGAAAGATGCTGTTACAACACTTAAATGACAGTTAACACTTATATAATAAAGAGCTTCCTTGCAGCAGTAAGCACATACTGAGGCAATCATGATTTTAAAATTTCGTGTTAATCTATAAATATACATTCTCAGTAGGTTTGCAGTAAAAATATACAGATATTTAAAAGCAATAAAATAAGTTAATCATAGGTTTATTGATTTTCTAAAATAGTTGTACTAAGTACTTAAATCAGTGGCTGTGGAATCAATTTAAAGCAATCTTTGATGCAGGTTGGTACAGTGTTTATAATAAAAATATTTATTTTGTGTGTTACATTAAGAAGAGCAACTTAAGCGTATAGAACTCCTAAAGTTAAAAAAGCCCAACAGCTTTACGAACAACGTAGAGCAAACTGAACTGTAGCAGTAAGCCGTCCAGTATCTTTTAAATTTTGGACATGCACAACAGAAATCAACTAAATATGATCAAATCTGTGCAGAATTTTCTCCCAATCTGTATATTTTAACATAGAATATCTAATGTTCCCACTATTTTTTCCATCCATGTGAAGAATAAATTTTGTTATATGCACCAAAGCATATACAGAGGTGCATCACCATTAGAAACAAATGGTGCTAGCTATGGGTGCTCTGCTAATAAGCTGGGTGGCACCTGAATCTTTCTTGGGTGGCCGCCCAAATGCACAGCTTACAGGGAACACTTCGGATATCTTAAGGTAACAGAAAACATTAATTACATTACTTAGAGTCATTCCTGGACTGTCATTGCTCATTAAAAGTGCTGTCATATGGGTGGAAATCGGGTAAATATTGCATTTTGTTAATATCAAAACAGAACTTACTTAAATGGGGCCTGCGTGTTGTGTAGACTTGCCTTAATCTTTGTATTCATGCTCGTCAGTGTGAAAGAAACTATTTGCAAACACACTTAAGTTGCAGCCCTCCACATGTGCTGTGAGTATCATTGTGGCTCCTGGGGCTTCCAAAGTTGAGTGGCTCTGGTCCAAATCATCCCTGATAGATGTCTATCCAAACTGCTCTTAAATATCTCCATATCTCCAAATATCTCTGGAGATTCTACAACCTTCCTAGGCAATTTATTCCAGTGTTTAACAACGCTGACAGGAAGTTTTTCCTAATATCCAACCTAAACTTCCTTTGCTGCAATTTAAGCCCATTGCTTCATGTCCTATCATCAGAGGCCAAAAGAGAACAATTTTTCTCCTGCCTCCTTTTAACACCCTTTTAGATACTTGAGAACTGCTATCATGTCCCTTCTCAGTCTTCTCTTTTCTAAACTAGACAAGCCCAATTCTTTCAGTCTTCCCTCATAGCTTTCTAGGGCTTTCACAGCTTCCCTCATGTTTTCCAGGGCTTTAATCATTTTTGTTGCTCTTCTCTGGACCTTCTCCAGTTTTTCCAAATCTTTTTTTGAAATGTGGTGCCCAGAACTGGACACAATACTCCAGCTGAGGCCTAATCAGTGTACAGTAGAGTAGAAGAATGATGTCTTGTGTCTTGCTCACAACACTCTTGTTAATGTATCCCAGAATCATGTTAGCTTTTTTGCAATAGTGTCACACTATTGACTCGTATTTAGCTTGTGGTCCACTATGACCTTAAATCCCTTTCTGCAGTACTCCTTCCTAGACACTCACTTCCCATTCTGTATGTGCGAAACGGATTGTTCCTTCCTAAATGGAGTACTTTACATTTGTCCTTATTAAACTTCATCCTATTCACCTCAGAACATTTCTCTAGTTTGTCCAGATCATTTTGAATTATGACTCTATTCTCCAAAGCACTTGCAACCCCCCAGCTTGGTATCATCTGCAAACTTAATAATCATACTCTCTATGCCATCATCTAAATTGTTGATGAAGATATTGAACAGAACTGGTCTCAAAACAAACCCCTGCAGAATCCCATGAAAAAAAACTGAATCCATAAAAAGTTTTTCCTCCTACAAATCAATGCACATCTCAAAGTAGAAGAGGTCTTCTCACGAAATACATGTGGCCAATATCTTTTGATTTGGCTTCCAACTTCCATTTCTCACAGGATGAAATTTAGACCACAAAAAAATGTATGGACAGGAATAGTTCTTCTACTTCATGGGACTACTTGTGCAAAAAGGTAAGTACACACACAAGACTTTGCAAGATTCATGACTTAGACTCTAAAGATGCAATCATGAGGCTAAATGCTATTTTGCAAAATAATCATATGTAATGCCAAACAATTACATCTAATAGTCCTAATTCCCCCAAAATTCTAGAAAACTACAGTGGAGACTCATTTTTCAGAAGATTTTATTTATTAATTCATCACTTCAAGATGCAATAGTCATACTCATGAATGTACATGTCTGTTGTCTTGTAAACTTATCTATTACACAAACAAAATAGCTGATGCTACAAGACAGTAGGCAACTATAAATGCTCCCATAGCTAATGAAAGGATCAAATCCTTTATTTGTACTAGGTTGCATTTTTAAATAATAATGTATTCATTTTACTAAATAAATTGAGGACAGGATTCAGTTAACTGGGTCTTTGAAAAAGTACCCTCAAGGAACAGAGGAGCTTATGAAAAACATCTTTGTATATTTCTGATTTAGGTTTTTTTTTGGTGTTATTATTTAAAAGGGCCTGGAGGACCAAGAACATGCATTAAATTCTGTTGGTCACATGGCTACCTTAAAAGTGAACATTTTTTAACTCTAGTATATTATTTTTAGTTTTTTAATCAAACATTCAATATAGATATCCCTAGGATGTAAATGACTTTCTTTGAAAGAAATTTTGATAAAAGGTAGCATAGGGCCACAATGATGTTTCTATTCACTGAGAGTTCTGGCTAGGAATAATAATCAGGAGTACATAAACTACAAAATTTGTCCAACAAAAATGTATAAATAGGCCACTGTCTGTTCCTCACATTACACAGCCCAACTATATCACTTGCTAACAATAACATTTCCCAGGTCGTATTCAAAGTGCAACATTTTGAATGAGATGAATAGCCACAACTCATGTGAAGGGGTTAAATTCACTCAATATATGTTAGAGTTACATGCAACAAATCCTTTGCACATCAAGAGATGAATAAACTGCTCCGTCCAAGACTAAACTATATTCAACAAGCAGAACAAAGAGGGCAATGTGAATACAAAGGATATTCAAGTTTTGTAGAAGTCTTACTTAATATTCAAGTCATACATTCACATATAAACTGGATCTTTAAGATGTATGGTGAATATATGTATTCACTATTTTAATAGATGTCTAACATTTTTGATTAGCATTACCTAAACAAATGGCACTGCTGTGACTGGTTGTCTCAATTGCAATTAATACAAATCTGAAATCCCTGTCAGTAAATGTAGTTGCAACTGACAAATATTTAGGCCAAATAATCATTTCTTTATCCTATTTATTACTCTTTATGTTGCAGACGGATTAAAAAAATCCATACAAAGTACTGTCATTCATGCAAATACTGCATTTTAACATTCAATCTTTACTTTCTTCCAGCTGTATGAATTACAGTTTTGGTAGTCTTTAAAAAAAACAAACAAAAAACAACAACCTATAATTCTTATATAAAACATTTAGTATGATGAGAGATTAAAACAATGTTAAAGATTACATACAGATTTCCCCTATTTTTTGCAGAGCTTAACTAAAAGGATGTTAAATCCTGTTTAATTAAATCTGCTTTTTATAAAGTCTATATAATGGAGACATTTAGAAAGGTCTCAAGAACACTGAAGTACTTTAAAATATCCTATAGTAAAAAAATTTGTTTGTCAAGCAGATTTCATTTGAAGATTTAGTCAAATAGTATGGAAACAGGATACACACTATCCTTTGTGAGATTTTTTCTTAGCAATCTTACATACCTTTTTTAAAGGCTAGGAAGAGCTAAAAATAAAATTGTGCTCCTCGTAAAATTTGTAATTTCTTCATTATGATGGAATGCAACAAAACATCTTGCCCTTGGGTTGCTCTGTTTCAGCCAAAACAAATGCAAATGGCTTGTCAGATGACAGCTGTTTGATAAGGCTCCTCTACAAGACCTGCATGCTTTACTTTTTTCCGTGAAACTTGGGATGAAAGGCAGAAGGCAGGAAGAGAATTAATGTAGCATACAGTCTAAAGGCAATGCTACAACCGTGATTAAGTAGAAAAGTTAAAAGGCACAGATTTTCCACAGCCTCGCTGCGTGCAACCCATCCGTGTAACAAGTTGACAGGCCTAGCGCGTCAGCTCCATCATCCTCTCCGACAGCTAAAACGCAGCATTGCATCCCTTTTCAGAGAAAATTTGCGTCTGCACCATGAAGCGTTGTACATTATTTCTTAGCACTGCAGGGGGCTCAAGTCCATATGGAACCTTCACAAATATTACCACAGATCAAACCAGCGGCGTTTCGAGGCAGATTTGACATACCTATTTAAATGAACAGCAGGGGTCCTCTGGCTGCCTCAGGCTGTGCAGGAGAAAACCTCTGTGGAAAGCCTATGCTGCAGCTCCATTACTCAGCAAAGACACACTCTACATTTATCATTCATTTCATTTCTACCAGGGCAAGAAGCTCATTTGCCCAAGGTCAACAAAAAACGAAAAAAGGGTTTTTTTTTCCATGAAATAAATGTACCTGACAAGTGGGGATTTTGTCCTTTGGGTTTGTAGAGCACAAATAAACACCAGATAATTCTCAAAGATATAGAAAATCTATGCACAAAATTTGATTTTTGGGAAAAGTCCAATAAACGTTGTAACTTTTTCAAGAGTACAAATCTGACAGGAACATCAAATTGAAAGTACCTGACTACAAAGTGAGTCTTTTTGTGTCTTATATAACTGTGCATTAAAATATTTCACATCTTTCTACAAGGCTCTTCTCAAGAATCAAAGAATTCATGGTCTACCTATGGGCATTGATATAAAAGGGTTCTTCATAACACACAATAAAGAAATCAGGACCAGTAATGTTCTATCACATATAGCTTTTATCATAGAAGTAAAGGGGGACAGATCCCATGGTTTTGCAACCATACTAATCTAAGTGCACATCAAGTTTACATGAACACAAACCTTTAAACGTTTAAAAATATATACATCTAATGAGCCACTTGAATATCAAGACATTTCTGCAATTCTTCTATAAGATGAAAAACATTTTAAATATGACAATAAATAATCCTAAATCTGGTCATCTCTGTTGGATGGACATTCACCATCGCTAACCTGATACTAACTTAAGCAACAGTATAAAATGAAAAATGTTCAGTATATTCTGACCTAACTCATAATCAAAACCAGCCACACACAAAAAAGGAAAACAAACCATTCACTTTTAAATTAGGTAACAAGTTCTCTCTAAATGAAAGAATAAATATTATGACTTAACACATTATGTTTCACCTCAGGTGGTATTGTTATGGCCCATTATGAAATCACTAGGTAAATTCAGAGGCCTCTGAAATACACTTCTGATGTAATGTTTCACTTTGCTTAGACTTAACATTATTTATCATCATAGTCTATAATGTACTTACATGCATTAATGAATAAAATGACTGCTTGCCAGTATAAAAGAGAAAGTGAAATGGACGGTGATCTTCTCCCCATTGCATTGCTAATGAAAGATTAGACAAAAAAGCTATAATATAAACAAACTAAATAACTGTATTTAAACTGTAGTTATAAACATCTTTTATAATACTTATTACCTTTTAAAATACCAGAGAATAAAATACATTTTATGGACATTCAACAAGTCTGGAAAACTAATATTTTTAACATATCCTGTTATAACCCATCTCGATCTGCTAATGTAACTAGATTGTTTTTAATACAACATTCTAAGTCTCTTATTACATAATGGAAGCCCCATCTTAAATAAAATCTCAAGGAATCTATGCAATAGCAATACAGCAAGAGATACCAAATTTAGACTAGACAGATATGCACACTAAAAGACAATTATAAGCTATATTATGATTATGAATAGTGCCACAGTTGCAGCTCCAGATAATAAAGTCTTCTAGAAAAAGTAGTATTCTATAGGCAGCGACTGAATAACCTTTATGACACTGCCCTGATAAAATATCTCAACTGTATTCAAGAGAGAACACTGCAGTTTGCAAAACAATTAAAACAATCTAATCTGTCTAATCACTGCAGACAAAAGATGTGTGTGACATTTTAGAAAATTAACATTTAAAATTTAAGGATACTTTCATCTAATAAAAATTTCCTTCATTTTAAAATTTATTTTTTCTGTCATTTTACCTCCTACTGGTACAAGTCATCTGAATTTACAAATTGAATCTCAAGTAATTATCAGTGCCACTGCTGGGCACAGGAGATGTACAAAAGATACTATAGTTAGAATTAGAAGGATTAGGTTTTCATGTGAAAAATGTCAATTTCACAAACAAAATGTTTTCTCTTCAAATCAGCAAACTAAGGAAAAGGCAGCCTCAGAACTTATTAGAGTTTGATTTAAAGATATGTACTTGGTATACTCTGATATGTGATGTTGACAATTTCTTAACAATTATAAGCTTTAACTTTTTGAAACTCAATGTTTATTTTCATTAAATACTTTTTGTCTGACTCTCCCGTAATTAGGTACAACTGAAAAAATTAAAATAGATAAAACTAAAAACTAATACTTAAAATCCATAATTCTGTGCAGCTGTGAAAAATCATTCTTCTCCTGATTCAGAGGTCTTCATAAGTAGCATAATACTAGGCTAACTTTACCAAAGGTAACAGAAGTGCACAAGTAGCAAGTTCAGAACTGTAAGCAGCTTTAGAAAAAGTATTTAGTAAAATCCAGTCAATGTATTATTTGTATTAAATTCTGCTCGTTTTAATAGAAATTCAAATCTAATAGGTATATATATGGTGAAATCTTTCTAGAGTGGTAACACTCTGATTTCAAGAGAGCGAAGAATTCATAGGTAATATTAATTTCAAGCACTGACAATATTTCAGCATTTTTGTCAAATATTATTCAATAATGTACATGACTTAGTGAGTTGATTTATTTCATGTTTTAAAACCTGGAGACCACAGCTACAAACTAATTTAGGTAATGTGTTAGATTAGCTTAGTAAAGACAAATCCAAATTCTTGTAGACATTTACACACATTACAAAGCTTTCAAGTAATTTGGCATGCCCAGTCTATACTCAAGAGAGGCTAAGCTAGGGAGCTATAGATAAAACTTAAGTGATAGAAGCTTGCGTAATCTGGCCTGCACTATTAAATCCTATCTTATAAATAAAAACAAAAAAGCTGCTTCAATTTCTCTCCCCACCCCCTCTTATGTAAAAAAAAGCAGCAGGACTGAAGTTAATAAAGCCTAACCATCTCATCACCAATGAAGAAGAAACAGTCTGTAGAAGATCAGAGGCAGATGAAAACAAGTTCTGACAGACCTGATAAACACAATATGCATTACAAAGAAAAGTTAAGGGAGAAAAATGGCAAAGGCACAAGTGGTAGGAAAAGAACTAATCTGCCATAAACAGAAGGAACAAAGGTAAAAACTGCCAAATTCAGACATCACATAACCAACTGCAACTAAATCAAATTGAGTGGCTTCTGTTTTCACCCTGGTCAATTTATTTTAAAATGCTGTCAATGTGAAAGTTAGATTCACCTTTTAGTAAAAGATGCAGTTATTGATCACATTTATAATAGTGTTTGTGTATTTCAGTCTGAAAAACTATGAAACAAAACAGGGTGAGGAGTATATGTTAATGTAGCTATTGGATACTATATTAGCTGGTAATAATACAGCTACTCAGCAATTATTGCTCAAGGACCATTTTGAAGCACAAGTGTGTGTATGTGCACTTCAAAATTCTTAAAAATATAAGTGACACACTCTTGAAAATGATGATAATTTCTAACAAGGCTATTTTTGGCTACAAATAAAAATACACCCCACAGACACAGTGTTTGAAAGAGTTCATAACTTCTGAAAGCATAAGTACTACTAGTCTGGTGCTGACAATAGGAGATAGCCATCAGACTTTAGAATCATGTATTTATTGCCACAATCTTGCCTCCTCTTCAATTCCAACATGATTTCAGCTTATATTTCACAATGCAATGAAGTTGGAAATTAATGTTTCATACCATTTGAAAGGTGAGGTCCAAAAATTTCAGCTGATATAAACAGCTGGTTTATAGATTTAAAGCAGTGGCCTCCAACCTTTTTAAGTACAAGATCACTTTTTGAATTTAAGTGCAATCCAGGATTTACCTCAAACACGAAGGCTGTGTCTAGACTGGCATGCTTTTGCGCAAATACTTTTAATGGAAAAGTTTTTCCATTAAAAGTATTTGCGCAAAAGCATGCCAGTCTAGACACAGCCTTCGTGTTTGAGGTAAATCCTGGATTGCACTTAAATTCAAAAAGTGATCTTGTACTTAAAAAGGTTGGAGGCCACTGCTTTAAATCTATAAACCAGCTGTTTATATCAGCTGAAATTTTTGGACCTCACCTTTCAAATGGTATGAAACATTAATTTCCAACTTCATTGCATTGTGAAATATAAGCTGAAATCATGTTGGAATTGAAGAGGAGGCAAGATTGTGGCAATAAATACATGATTCTAAAGTCTGATGGCTATCTCCTATTGTCAGCACCAGACTAGTAGTAACTCTTGCCCCACCTCCTTCCTGCTGCTTCTCTGAGGCACCACTCCTCCTCAGATGTCACAGCTTACTCACTCCATCCTCATTCCTTCCCTCTCCAATCCTCACTTACTTTCACCAGGCTAGGGAGGAGGTTGAGGGGACGAGGGTTGCAGACCCTGGTCTTGGCTCAAGGGGCATGGAGTGCGGGAAGGGCTCTGGGCTGAATCTAAGGCAGGAGGTTGGGGTATAGGAAAGGGTTCAGGACTGGGGCAGGAATTTGGAATGCGAGCTCTGACCAGGTTCTGCTTATCTCATACAGCTCTCAGGCAGTGGTGCAGCCAGGCTAAGGAAAGCTCACTCCTGCCCTGGCCCCATGCTGACATGCCCAGCATTGGCTCCTGGAGTGGAAGGGGCAGATGGCTCTGCACACTGCTCCCCCCCAAACAGAACCCCAGCAGCTCCCATTGGTCACAGTTCCCTGTTCCCAGATAATGGGAACTACAGGGGCAGTGTCTATAGGCAAGGATACTGTGGAGAAAACCCCTTTATAATCTTCCCCAGGGTGCTGCAGCAACATGCTGGCTAAGGATGTTAAATTGCGGATAATTTACTAGTCGAGTAGTTGACGGAATTTCCACTGACTACTCGATAGAAACTTCGGCCTTCCTCCTCTGAAATGTACAAGAGGGGGCTCTTGTGCATTTCAAAGCCATGGAGCCCGAGGTCAGCGGGGGACTCCCCATCTGACCCCTGGCTCTGGGGAAATGCTGCAAGGAACCTGGGCTCCACGATGTTTCAAAGGGGCAGTCTGGAGGTGATGTTTCAAAGGGGCAGTCATCATACAGCTGATCCTGGTTCCCTGTGGCATTTCCCCAGAACCCGAGGTCACCTGACCCCAGGTTCTGGGGAAAAGCCGTGCAGAGCCCAGGATCAGCTTGGGTTTTCAAAGTGGAAGCACCACACAGCTGATCCTCGGCTCAGCTGTGCAGTGCTGCTGCTCTGAAGTACCCCTTCTTCCCCCACCCCTTTGCTGCCTCTATTTAATAGAGGCAGCCAGTGTGTGTGTGTGTGGGGGGGGGGGGGGGGGGGTGCTTATCGGATAGTCAACTAATCCTTAACATACTTAATGCTGGCCACTTGCAAGAGTGGCATAGGGTCGGGGGGAAGTCTGCATTAGTCTAATTGCACTTCCAAACTGCCAGTGGCCAATCTCGCAGGAGCCTCCAGGAGATTGAGCCTGGTTCCATGAGTCTCCTTGCCATTGTTCCTGCTGTTTCTATCCATATGCAGAATTAATTTTGTTATATATTTTGTTTTCAAGGTAATGTGATAATATGCACCACTAGTAGAAACAAAAAACCTAAATATAATATATTCTTTATTACTCAAACAATTAAACTCAAGCATAAGAAGTAACTATGAAATGCAGAGACCAGTCAAAAACTTAAAATAACACACTTTGAAAGAAGAAGTTGTTGATGTCACCCAAGAATATGTTGGGTTGAGAGATGAGTGAAAAGACACACACACACACACGTACGTGTGTAAGAGTGACAGAGATGTGTGTTGCCTATGAAGAGCACGGGGACAATGGCCAGCAAGGTCCATCCATTCTGGGCCCTGCTCAATGGAGATGGGGCACAGAGGAAAGAAGGGAGCCATCCTGATATCAGTATCAATACCCCTCTCGTCTCCCTTCCCTGCCCCCATGGTAAGCAGGAGACTCCCTGGAGGATCACCTGTCAGAGTCTTCAGGATCTACCAGTACATCCTGATCTACTGGTTGGTAACCACTGCTTTAAAAGTTTTCAGGATAGCAGCTACTAATATATGAGAATTCATACGATAGTGAAAAGAAGATGTTACTGAGGATCAGAACTGTGTTATTTGCAGGACTCAGAGCTCTTTACAAACTAGCTCAATTCAAGCTCAGGACAGTAGCAACCAAAAGCTGTTACAATGTTTAGCATTCCATACAAAATAAATTTGGCAGTCAATAGTTTCTACTGAACAGATGTCCAAACAAAAAACACGACTAGGAATTAGACCAAAGTTTCCTGCATGGGCAAGGAAACTACAGCGTTGATTCAGCCAGATCAAGGTTAAGTGCAGATAATGTGGGGAGCAGGCATAGTCAATGCACATTATGTGCCCATTCTCTTCATGAAGAGGTCACTTCAGTTTCCAAGGCTGTCAATCTGCTACTCTTCATAAGCACCGAGTTTGCCTGAAAGAGTCTGGGGTTTTTAAAATGGTATTTTATACCAAACACTAATAAAAAGTAAATGCTTTATGGGTCGATGAAAAGCCACTAAAGGACTCCCATCGACTTAAAACAACATAGATTATGATCAAGAGCCTCTGAAATATTTCCCAATGGCAGAAAAACATTTTCTAGCCATGGTGGTTCACAAGACATTTTTTTTTTTTTTAAAAGAAAAGTCACTGATCCAAGGGTGCTGTTTCAGGAGAGTGGGGGAAAGAGGGAGGCAGCAGTTGTGCATACCAGGTCGCAGCTTGTTTTTCTTCCCATTCCCCTGATAAGGGAGCGAGGGGAAAGTACTTGGATTCTGTGCATGCCTCTTATTCCTGGCTGGTGAAGGGAGGGAGCAGGGCAGTAATTCATGGAATTCAAGTACTTTCCCCTCACTCCCTTTTCATCAGAGAAATGGGAAGAAAAGCAAGCCGCATCCTGGTATGCATGGCTGCTGCCCCCTATAGCGCCCTTGCACTGATCCCTTAGGGGTATGGCTATATTGCCATTAAAAATCCTTGCCACTGACTCAGGTTCGCATTATGGGGCTAACTATAGTGTAGACTTCCAGGCCTGAGCTGGGTCCCAGAACTTGGGCTGTAGTTCAAGTAGAAATGTCTACACTGCAATTAAATAGCACTGTAGCCCAAGTCAGCTGGCACAGATGAAATGTCAGTTTCCAATTTCAATGTAGTCATACCCTCACTGTAGCAGTACTTTTTGTCACTGGGGCAAGACCTCAGGTGAGTAAAATTTCATATTAAATTTGAAAGGTTTGTGTTCTTCTTACACAGGTGCCTCATTAGCAGTTATAAAAACATTAATGGATTGAAGGTAATGGATTTCAGGAAGGCAGATTTTGATAAGCTCAGAGAACTTGTACGTAAGGTCCCATGGGAAGCAAGACTGAAGGGAAAAACAACTGAGGAGAGTTGGAAGTATTTCAAAGGGACGTTGTTAAGGGCCCAAAAGCAAACAATTCCGCTGTGTAGGAAAGATAGAAAATATGGCAAAAGACCAGCTTGGCTTAACAAGGAGATCTTGCATGATCTCAAAATAAAAAAGGACTCATATAAAAAATGGAAACTAGGACAAATAACAAAGGATGAATATAGGCAAGCAACACAGGAATGCAGGGGCAAGATTAGAAAGGCAAAGGCACAAAATGAGATCAAACTAGCTACAGGCATAAAGGGAAACAAGAAGACCTTTTATAAATACATTAAAAGCAAGAGGAAGACCAAGGACAGGGTAGGCCCACTGCTCAGTGAGGAGGGAGAAGCAGTAACAGGAAACTTGGAAATGGCGGAGATGCTCAATGACTTCTTTGTTTCGGTCTTCACCGAGAAGTCTGGAGGTGTGCCTAACGTAGTGAATACAAGCAGAGAGAGGGTAAGTTTAGAAGATAGGATACACAAAGAACAAGTTAAAAATCACTTAGGAAAGTTAGATGTCAGCAAGTCACCAGGTCCTGATGAAATGCATCCCAGGATACTCAAGGAGCTGATAGAGGAGGTATCTGAGCCTTTAGCTATGATCTTTGAAAAATCATGGCAGACAGGGGAGATTCCAGAAGACTGGAAAAGGGCAAATATTGTGCCCATCTATAAAAAGGGGAATAAGAACAACCCAGGAAACTACAGACCGGTCAGTTTAACGTCTGTCCCAGGGAAGATAATGGAGCAGGTAATTAAGGAAATCATATGCAAACACTTGGAAGGTAATAAAGTGATAGGGAATAGCCAGCATGGGTTTGTGAAGAACAAGTCATGCCAAACTAATCTGATAGCTTTCTTTGATAAGATAACGAGCCTTGTGGATAAGGGAGAAGCGGTGGATGTCATATACCTAGACTTTAGTAAGGCATTTGATACGGTCTCGCATGATATTCTTATTGATAAACTAGGCAAATATAACTTAGATAGGGCCACGATAAGGTGGGTGCATAATTGGCTGGATAACCGTAGTCAGAGAGTTGTTGTTAACGGTTCTAAATCCTGCTGGAAAGGGATAACAAGTGGAGTTCCTCAAGGGTCTGTTTTGGGACCCGTACTGTTCAATATCTTCATCAATGATGTAGATATTGGGATAGAGAGTACGCTTATTAAGTTTGCAGATGATACCAAACTGGGTGGGGTTGCAACTTCTTTGGAGGATAGGGACATAATTCAAAATGACCTTAGCAAGTTAGAGAAATGGTCAGAGGTAAACAGGATGAGGTTTAATAAAGAGAAATGCAAAGTGCTCCACTTAGGAAGGAACAATCAGTTCCATACATACAAGATGGGAAGCGACTGTCTAGGAAGGAGCATGGCAGAAAGGGATCTAGGGGTCATAGTGGACCACAAGTTGAATATGAGTCAACAGTGTGATGCTGTTGCAAAAAAAGCAAATATGATTCTAGGTTGTATCAACAGGTGTGTTGTAAGCAAAACTCGTGAAGTCATTCTGCCGCTCTACTCTGCACTAGTTAGGCCTCAGCTGGAGTACTGTGTCCAGTTCTGGGCGCCACATTTCAAGAAAGATGTGGAGAAATTGGAAAGGGTACAGAGAAGAGCAACAAGAATGATTAAAGGTTTAGAGAACATGACCTATGAAGCCAGGCTTCATGAACTGGGCTTGTTTAGTTTGGAAAAAAGAAGATTAAGGGGGGACATGATAGCGGTTTTCAAATATCTAAAAGGGTGTCACAAGGAGGAAGGAGAAAATTTGTTCCTCTTGGTTTCTGAGGACAGGACAAGGAGTAATGGGCTTAAAGTGCAGCAGGGGAGGTTTAGATTGGACATTAGGAAAAAATTCCTAACTGTCAGGGTGGTCAAATATTGGAATAAATTGCCAAGGGAGGTGGTGGAATCTCCCTCTCTGGAGATATTTAAGAACAGGTTAGATAGACATCTGTCAGGGATGGTGTAGACGGAGCTTGGTCCTGCCTTGAGGGCGGGGGGCTGGACTCGATGACCTCTTGAGGTCCCTTCCAGTCCTATTATTCTATGATTCTATGATTAATAAAGGAACTGTAAATAGACTGCATGAAAGAAAAGCAACAAAGAAAAACAATAACAACTTTCATATAGCCTGGAAAGAATAGCTATGCACACTTACCTCTTTGCTTTGGAAAAATGTCATTGGGATGCTGTAGAAAACCAACAAAAAACAAAAAAGTTACTATGACATGCTAAGAATACTGAGAAAAAAGTCACTGAATGTTGTTCTTACCTTCATTACAGGCCTGGCCCTTTTCTCAAATAATCCAGATGGGAAAAGGTAGGCAATAGCTTTCTGCAAACAAATACAAAAAGATCAGATAAATTTGTTCCATAACAAAAAAATAATCAAATTCCTTACATATACTTTTACTATGGCCTTGCTATAAAAACCTAGACAGCACAGAAAGACAGACAAATCAACAAAAAAATAGTATATGTATATATGCTGGTATGAGAAGAAAACAAGTGTAATTTTTTCAGGACTCTGTAGAGAGAATGAAAGAATAAGAAAAAACTAATTCTGAAGTTTGTAATCTAGTATGTGAACTGTTTTCTTTACTTTAAATATTAATTTTAAATTAAATAGTTTATTACCACAAATACTGAAGGAATATACAACCTCCATTTCATCTAAACACTGATTTTTAAAGTTGTAATTTTCACCCATCTCCTCATCTTAAAAATACCTAATACTGTAACACAGAATGGATTTCGCATCCCATTTATCAAGACAGTTTTCTTAATTTTTTTTCCTGAAAATATTAGTGTTTGCGAAAGACAGTGGTTTGATAGTTCTTGAGAATTAACTCTCTATGGTTTCAAAGAATATTATTACGGGGTAGGGAATTCTGCACCAAAATTTAAAATTCTGCAAATTTGCATCAAAATAATACAATATGATCACATCAGTTTCAATTATTTTGATAATGTATTTCTTAATATCTGTCAACAAGTCTAATACAATGAAAAAAATTCAGGAAATATTTGACGAATAGACTTGTTCTTGAGCATGTCCAGAACTTTCAATAATTCATTTCAATTACTATATAGAAAGTCTGCACCCCTCAGAAGCATTGCAGAGGTTTGGGGAAACAGGGGTAAAGGTGGAGCTGAGGGAGGAGCCATGAAGTGAACCTAGAAGGGAAGGATTGTTAGGGAGCCATGCAGACCCTGGCTGAACCCTAGTCTCTTCCATTCACATTTAGCCTTGTCCCGTGTCCTTGATTATAGGCGTGGCCCTATCCTCATGTCTTATGCACCCTCAGACACCAGCTCTTCCCATCCTCATGTGTCCCTGCACACCACAGAGCCAGCACCTCTCTCCATCCCCATGTCTCTGCCCTCACTCCGCAACCCATGTTGCCCAGTGCATCCACTATCATTCAGCTCCTATCCCAGTCCGCCCTTCACCAATGTCCCTTAGAGACTTGTCTGTGACCTCCCTAACCCACATTGTTTTTCGCTCCCCTCCACCACCCCGCGTCTCTTGACCTGGGCCCACAGGCATAGTGCTGCCAGGCAGGCAACCTCTTCACTTCCCTACTGGCAGCTGGGGCTGCTCCTGCCCAGGAGTGGCTGCTCTGTTCTACTGTCACAGTGGCCGCTGGTGGCAAAAGGAAGAACTGCATCAACTTTGATAGATATTTTCTATTGAAAAAATTATGCAGCAAAAATGATTATGGGTATGGACTGGCTTCTGTATGAGAAGGGATTAATAAGATTGGGACTTTTCAGTTTGAAAGAGAGACAGTTTGGGGGAGGGTATGATAGAGGTCTATAAAATCATGACTGGTGTGAAAAAAAAAAAAAGTGCTATTTATTCCTCCTTTGGTGAATGAGAGGTCACCAAATTAAATTAAACAAATAAAAACAAATAAGAAAAGGATTTCTTCACTGTCAACCTGTGGAACTCTGTTAGAGGATGTTGTGAAAGCCAGAACTATAACAGGGTTAAAAACAAACAAAAAACCCACCAAAAAACCCTAGTTAAGTTCATGGAGAATAGGTTCAGCCGCCAGCCTGGGTAGGGAATCTAACATCATGTTCTGCATGTCCTTCACCTGCATGTCCTGTTTACCAGAAGCTGGGAATGGATGATGGGATGAATCACTCAATGACTGCTTTCTGTGTTCATTTCCTCTGAAGCACTGGCATTGGCCACTGTCAGAAAATAGGATACTGGGATAAATGGGCCTTTGGTCTGACCCAGTATAGCCGTTCTTATGCACAACACAAACTATGCATGTATACAGTGATGCAGAATTCCCCCAGGAGTACGCAAATAGAAAAAATGAACAAAGGCGGTAAAAGTTTCCCCACACTGTTTTGCCACAGAGTGCCAATCTGCATAGGAAATAACTGGATTTGCAAACTACTGTGAATCTCCTTTCCACCTAAATCCAGCACTTTCTGAACTGTCAAGAATGACTACTGTCGTCATGGAAATTTACATAGGCAGGTTTCTGTACAAATATCACATGGGAACAACTGATGCTCGCTACAACTTAAGCTCAATTTGAAGCAGCAACTTGGAAGTGAAAATCTATTTCAATTACTAAACCTTTAACAATGAAGTCTTCTTTTAAAGGTCTGTCAAAAAGACAAACCAGGAAACCATTAGAATGTGCATTTTTGAAAACAATGGTTTATCCTTCCAGACTATTGTTATAATAATACTTATTCTTCATCCACTCAACCAATATTTTAATGTGGTATCTGTTCCCTATAAGTAACATTTACTATAGCAAGCAGCTTAAAAACTATGAACCATTTTGGGCACTATTGTAAGACAAAGTAGCTTGCAGTAATATTAAATCCATCTGGGTATAATTCCTATTCAGCAATTTATAACTAAGGTACTTCCCCCCTCCCCCCAAAATGGTTGAAAACTGTTTTTGCTTCAATAATCCATGTATTAGAACAGAAATCTAATTTTTCCATATTTTATACATACACACACACACACACGTACGTTTTGGTTCTAAGTTTCAGATATGACACAAAATTAACAGAAGCTTGAGACTAGTGATTTTATAAAGATACAATGTATTTGAAAAATAACACTAATAAAAACAAAATACTGCAGTCAATTTGCTTGCATTTTAGTCAACAGTGAAGAAAAATAGTTACAATAATTTTGTTTAAAATCCTCTCTCAAGAATTAGGCCTCTCTGTTGGTTAGGTTACATCAAGGCTTATATCTGCTGATAATTTTTTTTCCCATGGACATGAATTGGTTTGTCAGTGCTTCAACCTACTTAGTATGCATGGAGTGTAAAAAGACCTAACCTATTACTTTCATTAGTCCCCTACTGGCATTCTAAAGAGAAATTTTGAGAATTCTGAAGCAAACAAAGGGATTAACTTGAATTTATGAAATGGTAATTTTGTCTCTCTTAGTGACTGCTGAATTCCCATTTGTTAGTCAATGGGCATTTTGTGCACACAGAGAGTAGGTGAACACTTACAGTATTTATGAACAAATGGGGATTAATTATGATGACAATAGAGAAATCTGCTATGAGCCAACTGATGTTAAACAAACACCTTATCTAATAACATATTAAAGGAATACATTATGTGCTACTGAGACTAACAGTGTGCGTACTTAAAAGGTATCCTCTATATTAGCTCTCAAGGATTTGATTCAAACAGTAACTATTAGTATGATGCTGAAAACTCAATGTAAGCACGATGTTCTGTTTTGCTGCAACTTTAGAGGTTTTGAAATTTGTTTTCCTTCAAATGTGGAATAAAACCCATACACGCTATACGTTTTCATGAGGTATGTATCTGTCTCTATCCTCTAGTAATAGTTGGGGTACTGGCCTGGGACATCCTGGTTCAAATTCCTATTCTGCCTGATTCAGAGATTTTTTTCATCCCATTTCACTCCAAATTAGACAAAACAAAAGAGGCCAACACTTGGGTCTCCCAAATTCTATGCCAGTATCCTAACCATCCTGCTACAGAATCTCTCCTTCCCACTCTGAAAGTTTCAAGGAAACAGATAAATCTTCAAAAAGTTGTTTAGCTTTGATAAAACAACATATTTTCAGGAAAACGTTCTTACCAGATCTCTCTCTCAGGTTTCATATTTATTATGAAAGGGGAGATCAGCCTCTAGACTGCCATGAGTAATAAATCTATCTGAACACTAAAATGCTCCAGTTTCAGTTTAGTTCAAGTTTATTAACTTAATATGGCCTGCCTTTAAACTTGCAGCTTTGGATTTCATTGCAAGAATCCCTTCAGGAGTACATCAAGATATAGAAGAGGATTATATTCAGTATAACCCTGAAAATGCTAACCAATGAAGATATTTTATTACCAAGGTAGAGAGAACACAGACACAATATACAGACTTTTCCAGACCAAAGTTTTCCTTTACAACTGGGATTCTCAAGTGAAGAGTCATGGACACATGTCTAGGAGTCATGTCCACTTTGTCTTGTCCCAATGCTAAATTGGAGAGAAGGAAAATCCAATGGGAGGAGGAGCTCAGTACAAATAAGTTTGAGAACAGCACGTTGAGGTTTACATCAGTTTAAAGACAAATATGTTAAGATATCTAATAACTATATAATCTCCTCCCCACCAAACTTCTTTACACAAGAGATAGACATTTCACAACCTTATTATTTTCTTTGGGAACAGGCCTCATAAAACATTCCCTGGGAATAGAATACAGCTTTCTAATATGACAGATAAATGTTTCATCCCCCTCAACCACATTGTTTTTCAAAATAACTGTACCCCAAGAATCCTGAAACACAAAATCCCACTTCTCTCTCACAAGTAATTTTGTAACCCCCTGCCAAAAAGACTCTAGAGAGTGCTACCATATAGATAATAGCCTTTGTTTGCTATGAAATATTCCTTTAGCTCAAGTTGCAATCTCTCCTGTGGATCTGGGAGTCTAGGGTTCAAACTACTTATGGCCCCCATGTGGGCAAAAATATAATGTGATTACCTAATGAAAGACTAAATCATAATGCATATACTCAAGGGAGGAAAATTAAGGCCGCATTTAATCCTGGTATTTCTGATAACCCTAATATTCATTCAACATACTTATACAGAGGACCCGCTTTTAAAGTTACTACTTGTGGAGGTACTGGATACCTCTGAATATTACTAATGAGTTTCAGTGCTTTTGCTAGTAGCTTACTAGTCTACATCCACCTCAGCTCAACAGGGACTGACATTTGTTCCCATCATATCCAGTAGATGATTGGTGGCCCCTCAAACTATAACTGCAAATATGCAGAATAGCTCATTAAAAATTGCATA